GACCTGGCGCGGGGCATGTTCGTCTTCGGCTACGACAACTACATGGCGCACGCCTTTCCCCAGGACGAGCTCAACCCCATCCACTGCCGCGGCCGTGGGCCCGACCGCGGGGACCCGTGAGTAGCCCGCGCCCGTCCGACGCGCTTCCTTCCGGCCCCGGGCCGGGGCGCAGCCGTCTGTCCTCCGGGTCCCCCGCGAAGTCGGGGCAGTTGGGGCCCTGGGGACAGCGACCGCCCTTCTGAGCCCTGGGCGACCCCCCCGAGGTCCCACGCCCCGAGTCTGAGGGCGAGGGGGTGGGCGGGTGGCTGCGCTCTCACTTGATTCTCCTGGAGTCTCCGAACTTCAGAACAGCTGTCCAGCTCAGTGTCTTACAGTTGGAGAAACTGAGGCCCAGAGAGCGGAAGGGACAGTGGCAGTGCTCAGGGCTGGCTTAGGGGTTTTAGACTCCCATCTCGAGCCCCTCCTCCAGGTGAGCAAAAAATCTAAATGAAATCTGTATGCTTCCCACGTCAACGCATCTTCAGAACAAGTCCCTGCTCCTCTCCCTACCGTCAGATTGCCACACCTAAATCGTCTTTTTTTAAATTTACAAATTCAGGAGTCGATCGCGAGAAAGAACTTCTCCAATCCAGCCCGTGAGTTTGAGGCAAAGGGGGTTACAACCTTTCTCCTTCTTAGGGGCTGCTTCTCAAGCTGAGGATAGCCAGAAGGAAGGGAGGGAGGGAAGCTGTTTGGGCCACATTTGAGATCCGGACACTTGGGGTGATATTCCTTGGATGCTGAATTGACTTGTCAGCGTTATTGCGCCGTACCATCTGTCCCATTAACTCCCCCACTTTGGTGGCGAGGCTGTCAAGGAAGGTCACCCAGTCCTTGCCGTCCACCATCCTTGTTTGCTAAGGCTAAGCTCCAAGGTCCGCTGCTGTTGACATCCAAGAGGGCAGCACACCCAGCTAAGGACCTCTGGAGGGAAGGTATATGCATTGCCACGGACCCTGTTAGTCCAGATAGGCGATTACCCTCCCCTGAGGTGGGAGTGGAGGAGTCGTGCTTTTGGACATTTGAGGCATGTGTTTTCCTTCACCTGGTGGAAAGCAGCTGAGTCCAATCCTTAGGTTCTAAAAAAGAAGGCTATATGTGTACTAAAGAGGCGGAGGAGTTTTTAAAAATGGTTTGGTTATCTACAAATTCATGTCTTAAATTGCAGTTTGAGGACTGGACTTTTCCAAAATTGTAGGAAACTGATGAGTATTTCTTGCTTAACCACATTGGCCTTTATGCATATAAATGTGTTTTCTGTCTCAATTTTTTTGAGAAAAAATAATAAATTTTGAAAAAATGTTTTGGCCATTCCAGATTGCAGGAAATGAATAAATGAATGAATTATTTGGCTTGCTTAAATAGAGGGGACTTTATGTCTATAAATGTATTTTCTCAATTTTTTTTGGGGGGGTGAAGGGAATAAACTTCATTAAATTTTGAAAAACAATATAAAATCTCACCAGTCAGTTATTTTTCTTTTCTGCCAGTTCCCATATGCTTACACAATTTTTACATAGTTGCAACCAAAGTGTTTCTACATATTTTGGATTTGAATTGAGCTTTCTCACTAATGCTTTTGGTATTACAGAAAGGGAGAGAGCACTTTCAGTCAGTGACTTTATTCTCTCTCATAGATAATTTCCCATATTTTCTTTTACCAGGCGTACCTAAGGAAAACAGTTTCATGTGAAATTGTGATAATTCTTTCAACTGAAAATATGATGGTCTGGAGAGTGAGTTGATGACATTGTAATGTTTTTCTTTAGATTCTTCTGGAGAGCTCTTCTCCAATAAAGTGTAGTGGTGGTTGGTTTAACTTGCTGATCCCCATGGTATCATGGGTGACATCTACCTTCATTTCAGGTTGAAGGCTGCTGATTAGTATTTTGGTTTCGTTATACATTGGCAATCTATGTAAGTTAAGGTTAGGTTGCTTTGAGACAGATGTATTATTGTTGGGAAGATATTGTTAGAAATATTGGGGAGGTGGAGGGTGGCATTTGGGAGAGTTGTGCCCAGAGGTTAGTAAGCCTTTGTTTTCTTTGAGGAGGTGAAAGGGGTCTGGGATTTTGGTGGCCTTAAGTAGACCCTCACACTGGACACTTTGGACACTTAACAGAATGTGGAAAAGTTAATTTTTTGTACTCCTCTTTCTTTAGTTTAACTCCTCTCAGTCTTTGATATTTTTGGGAAAAGTTTAGAACCAGAGCTGTGTCATTCTGGCTTTGAAACTGGAGGGCACATTTATGTTCCCAAAATAAATAACTTGTAATAAAAATATTTCAGATTTTTAAAATCAAATATGTGCCATGATTTTTTTAAATAAGAGTGAGATCACTATTATAATATTATGTAAAAAGTACAGCTACAAAATGTGGGTGCTAAACACATGTATATTTTTCTTTGTAGACACAAGTACTTGAAGTGTGTCTTGCCTATTTTGTTTGGCTGAGAGTTGAGTGGGAAGTTAACATGAAGTAAATAAAACCTGAACACTCTAAAAATAGCAAACCTTTCTGACCAGCAACAGGTTACTATGTAAAGTCGGTTCCTTTCACATCCCCAGTTTGGGTTGGAGGATTCAACTTCAGTTTCTTTGAGTAAATTTGGATATTATATATTTGTAATACTGTGAATGGTTAACTGTAGTTCTGGCCTTTGGGCATGTGACCATTCTAGATTTCTCCTCAACCATATTGCTATTAAAACAGAAAAGCAAATCTCAAATTGACTAACCAAATAAGTAGTAGCCCCCAGTCTGACTCATTTCTAGACACTCCTAGCTCAAGATGGCCTCTGCACATCTCTTTCTTTCTGAAGTAAATCCTTCCCTTCTTGAGGAGATTCAGGCTGAAGTCTTTTTTTCTGTGAAACCATCCGATTGAAGATTCTCCCTAGTTTACTCGGTTCTTGTTTTGAATCCTTTCCTTTGAGCTGTTGTTGTTCTACATTTTAATGTTGTTTGAGAATTGTATACTACTGTGTATTCACCTTCTTTTCCCCTTGTCTTATTGCTGCAGATTATCAATCCTTTGAACACAGGGACTGTTTCTTATGTTATCTCTGTACCTATACAGCACCAGGTAGATTTCTGAACTGCTGTTAGAGGTTAAGTGTATGTGGGATTTTTAAAAAACACATGTTTGATTTTGTAAGCTACATAGTCAAAAAAATTTTTTTATCAAAGGTCATGGTTTTCTCCATCTTTTCTGTCTTGAGGTGGTAAGGACTTTAAAAATTTACAGTGGAATGAATGCTGTGAACATTCATTCGTTCATGGCACATTAGATGGAGAGTTTAGTTGTAAGATTCAGCCAGCTGGTTATGTGGAAAGATATAATTTTTTTTTTTTTTTCTGAGTTGGGATCTCAGTGCTGTTGCCCAGACTGGAGTGCAGTGGAATGATCATGGCTCACCACAGCCTCAACCTCCTGGGCTCACGCTATCCTTCTGCCTCAGCCTCCTGAGTAGCCGGTACTACAGGCATGCCACCACACCTGGCTGATTTTATTTTTGTATAGATAAGGTCTTACTATGTTGCCTGGGTTGGTCCTGAACTCCTGGGCTCAAGTAGTTCTCCTTCCTTTGCCTCCCAAAGTGTGTGCCATGGTGGCCACCCCGCCCCCCAGCTTACATTTCTGAGCCCTGCTTTATGCTGGAAGATTGAGCTCTTGGTTTGAGGCACTTGTGAGCATATCTATAAAGAACAAATCCACCATCAAATCTGTATAGTGAACTGGCCGAAATGCAGTCATAATAATTTCATGATGTTAGGCCAGGAGGACTTTTTCCCCTCATTCTCCTCTTCCTTTTTCTTTTCTTCTATTTTGGCACATTTTGAAAGGATGTATAATGATTGTTTGGCAGAAAAGAGTTAAAAGTGTTATAATAAACACCCCAGACCTTTGAGTGGATTTGTCTGACTAGAGTAGAGAAAAGAAATCCCACAGTTATTTCAAATGCTTTTTTTTTTTTTAACCATAGCAATGCTTATCAGTTGTTAGTGGCTGCTTGGGCATTGTATCAAGAAGTATTTTAAAACTGCAGCCATTTTAGTTATAGGTTAAAAGAAAAGGCACAAGAAAGCATGAGGAGTGCAGTGTTCAAAATTAATAATACCTTCTATGGGCCTGTGCAGTTGGAGAGATTAGGGTGTCCCTCAGGAGAGGGTGTTTGCATGTTCTCCCCATTACCACTAAGCTTGGATGCTGAATGATGGGAGAGCTATTTTCTGATGAGGTAGGTTGTTAGTGCTCACTCTATGTTTCTGTTTTTTATTTTTTTAAGAGTCTGTCTACTCTGTTTCTGAGCAGTAGAACAACATAGTTAAATAGTTATACCTAGCAGAAAGTTCTTGAACTGTCCGAATTGAGCATGAGGATTTCTGTCTCCTTTGAGCCTCTCCTCCAACCTTTGGCATTTCTTGTATCCTTTTTTGACTGTCACTACCCTTGAGAGACCTATTTGAACCATAGCTTTGCCTTGAGCAGACTTTTGTTGATTCAGAATCAACAACTAGAAAAGGCAGGTGCAGTTTTCAGTCATATGACTTGCCAATTTCTCATTTATGGGAGACAAGATAGCCCTAGTTCCTAGACTATAGCCCTCTCCTTATAGCTTGTTTTTAAAAAAGGTGTCTAAAATTTTGCTGTAAATTATTTGCCCTAGATTAGGTGGATAACTACTCATAACAAGGCAACTGGTAGGTTCAGATAAGATCAGATGTTGGAGATGTTAATGCCTGCTTCAGGTAGAATCCATTTCATTCCAGCTGGAGCATGTAGGAGGCCTTTCAGAGTCAGAAGCAGGGGAGGTGATTCTTCACCAGAAGCTTCTCTGGCAGAGAATAATGGAGAGAGGACCCATTAGGGTGATCCAGGGAGCAGATAAAGTGCTCTGGGGGATATGATAGAAGATCATATCCCCCAGAGTGAATCTGTTGTTGAAAACAAAACTGGAGCATTTTCATATGGCCTTTGATAAACTCTTTAAACTGTTGTCTTATTTCTTTTCTTACTATTATTTTTTTCTAAGCTTCTGCAGTTGTTTTCTAGGTTTGTGGGAATGAGACAAAGGAATAGTGAATTCCCCAGAATTTTTCAGTCTGTGCTTCATTACCTCAATGCTGTAGTAATCTAATCCTACCCTCCCGGATGTATTAGTTTTCATTGGTGGTGGTGTTTTTAGTATTATAAAGAAATATCCGAGTGGGTGAAGAGCTTTACCCTTGTCGTCCTGAAGTAGATTTCCTTAGATTGTTTCAGAATGGAAAATCAATGTTAATTATGGGAGTGAGAGGTGTGTGGAAAAAACATTTATGCAGCTCCAGTTAAGAAAGGAGAAGGAGCCAGGCACGGTTGCTCACACCTGTAATCCCAGCACTTTGGGAGGCCAAGGCGGGGAGGATCGCTTGAGCCCATGAATCTGAGACCAGCTTCGGCAGCGTAGTGAGACATCGTCTCTAAAATAAGTTTATTTTTAAAAAAGGGGGTGGGGAGAAGAGCCTCAATTCTTGCTTTGGTTCATGTTAGAAAAATCTTCCGTTAATGGAAATAATGGGGATTCTTTGGATGCGATGTTAATGAAAAAGTGGTGCAAGGAAATTTGTTACCCCAACTAAAGACAGATGAGAAATATTAAGACTATAACTGAAAGTATTTACTTTTCTTTGTTTATAAAAGATTTAAGTGTCTAATTTCTGTGTCAAAGGATTATAGATAAGTCATATGACAGAGTTTCCCTTTTAGTTCCTAATGATTATGAAATCAGAGGTTTTAGAAGTTGGACACGGTCAGTTGGGCTTGGTGGCTCAGCCTGTAATCCCGTGCTTTGGGAGGCTGAGGTGAGTGGATTGCCTGAGCCCGCGGGTTCGAGACCCACTTGGGCAGCTTGGCGAGACCTCATCTCTACAATAAATAAAAAATTAGCTGGGTGTGGTAGCACAAGCCTGTAGTTCCAGCTACTTGGAAGGCTGAGGCGGAAGGATCGCCGGAGCCCAGCAGGTCGAGGCTGCGGTGGCCGGGAACGGCCACTGCACTCCAGTCTGGGTGACAGAGTGAGACTCCAACTCAAAAAAAAAAAAAAAAAAAGAAGTTGGACATGGTCAAAGGGATTGTTTATGGTGTTAAAACTGTAATCTCAGTGAGGGCAAATGATTCAGTCTTCCGACTTCCATGAGTGTTCTTTCCACTGTAGTACAAGTGTGTCTTTGTAGGTCTATGACTGGATTCTACCTATAGATGCCATGGAAACTTGCTTTTGAGATAGAAAGAGTTTTACCTTACCAGTAAATAGTTCCTGAATAAAGAAGAGTTGCTGGTAGTTTTAGTTTCTGGTGGCTGTTTAGTTTTATTGTATTTTTTCTTTTTAAAAATAAAGTACCTTGGTTTAATTTTAATTTTATTTCTTTTTCAGTTCAAATCTGAACATCAATGATGTACTAGGGAACTATTCGTTGACTCTTGTTGATGCATTGGATACACTTGCAGTAAGTCTTCAGCCTTTTAAAAAATCAATTAAGATGTTTTGGCATTGGTTATCTCTAGTTTCCCTCAGTAATGGGAATTCCAGGGAACCTGATAGTCAAAATGTATTGATAGCTATTATTTATTTTAATGACCTTAATGGGGAGAGCAAGGTAAACATTGAAGATTAAATGAAGATAAATGTGATTCTCCTAAGAAATAGAGAAGAAATGTATGTTTTTGTGTTTTACTGGGAGAACCTATTTTTCTCCCAGTTTTTCACTGTCTTATTTCCTAAAAAAATTCATAGAGAATCTAGCTCATTAATATTGACAGTTACTGTAGTTACTATTCCAGGAATAAAAGACAGACGATCTCAGGATTGGTAGGTACCCTGGAATACCATCTAGCTACTGGCTCCACAAGGTGGTATCTGAACCCTGGTGCTAGCCCATACATGGGGCTCTCTGGAAACACTCCTCTTTTATTTGCTACTTCCTGTTTTATGGACACTGTCCATTCCATGCTTGAGCTGCTAGCTTGGGTACTGACTTTACCTTCTTATCCTGTGGTTTTGCTCTTTGACACTGGAGACCTGAAGACCTTTGAACAGATATGCAGAAGTACATTGGAAGCACTGTGGACATGGTGCTTATTAACTGGCCATGTTTGTGTTCTTCGTCTGCTTCATGACCTTTTGCCTTAGAATACAGTTTCCAAGGGACTGTATTCCAGCATAGCATTTTTTTTTTTTTTTTTGAGTCGAAGTCTCACTCTGTCACCCAGGCTGGAATACAGTGGCACACTCACTGCCACCACAGCCTTGACCTGCTGGGCTCAGGTGATCCTTCCACCTCAGCCTTCCAAGTAGCTGGAACTACAGGCACAAGCTACCATGCCCAGCTTGTTATTTGACTTATTGTAGAGATGAGGTCTCACCAAGTTGCCCTGGCTGGTCTCGGTCTCCCAGGCTCAGGCAGTCCTCTTGCCTCAGCCTCCCAAAGTGCTGGGATTACAGGCTGAGCCACCGCGCCCGGCCAGCATTGTTTTAAAATCTTCACAGAAGAGGTACTCTTGCAACCTCTTTGTTTTCCTTCATTGTCCAGCAAACCTTTATCATGAGAAAATTCTTACTATAATCTAGCTCAGATTTTGCACTTAATAATTTATTCTTGTTTCTTTTAACATTCCCTGGGAGAGTTTAAAGCTGTCTGTTAGGAGATAGAATTGGGTAATGCTAGCTAAGTTTGCATTACAGCTTTCCAGTATCTTGCTATTAGAACTGTTAGAACTTGGAAGGAGCTGAAGAGATCATTCTACATCTTTATTTTGTAAATGAGTAGTAGAAATAGGACTAGACCCTTGGTCTAATAGGAAATCTGGTATACTGGACTTCATTCCACTAGGCTGTAGATGCAAAACAATTTAGTTTCCCAGTATCTCCTTCTAAAGTAATCACTACTCCATTTCAGTTATTCACCATCACCAATCAAAATGCCCAGAGAGTGTGTTCAGCCTAATTAGAGCTATCATGTTGAAGATACTCAAGGCTTACTCAGCCTACAAGTGTTACTTAAAAGGAAATGTCTTAAGACTTATTAGATATTGCTTATAAAGGCCCACCTTTTCTCTCTGAGCTCTTCCCCCCCCCATTGTGCCTTTTTATCCCCCTGCCATACTTGTTATTTTATTACTCAGCATACTTTCCCACACACACATAATGGTGTTCAGTGCATAGTAGGAGTGCAAATATTTGTTCAAAAAAATGAATTCTACTAATCCAGCATTTTCCAGCACAGATTCCGAGTGCATACTTTGTGAAAGAAGAGTTCTGTTTCCAAATGAACTTGAGAAATTCTACATATCTGTCCCACTATGGGAGAGCTACAGTGCATATCAGCATTTTAAAGGCTCTGAGTGCTTGAGGGAGGGCAAATAAATAAATAATAAAAAATTAAAAAAAAAAAAGCTGGGTGCAGTGGCCCATGCCTGTAATCACAACACTTTGGGAGGTGGAGGTAAGAGGATTTCCTGAGCCCAGGGGTTCGGGACCAGCCTGGGCAACATGGTGAGGCCTCCTCTCTACAATAAATCAAAGACTTAGCCAGTCGTGGTGGCTTGTGCCTGTAGTTCCAGCTACTTGGAAGGCTGAGGTGGAAGGATTGCCTGAGCCCATCTGGTCGAGGCTGTGGTGGCCATGAACATGTCACTGCATTCCAGCCTGGGTGACAGTGAGACTCCAGCTTAAAAACAAACAAACAAACAAACAAAAAGAATAAATAAATAATCAAAGGTTCTGAGAAGTTCTGCAGTAAAACACACACACACACACACACACACACACACACACAAAACTATTTAACTCTTTTGCCCCATCCAGTCTTTCTCAAGCATGAGAGAATGATTTCATAGCCTGGTTGCTTTGGGCTCTGTAGCTATTTGAGATCATATCAGTACCTGCAGGTTCACCAGATATTGTTGCTGGTGAACATCTGTAAGGAAACAGACCCATGTCTGTGGTTTTCATTGTAGAGTATCCGGTCTTTAATGTGTTAAAGCTTCAGGCTTATTTTTCAGGTGTTACATATGTTGAGGTTTTCCCTTTCTTTTGCTAACATTTTAAACTGGTTTTTAACAGATATGCTAGGGAAACATTCTGAATAGCAGTTCCCTGACCGTTGCAGCCTTATTGCATAATCTTATAAAAGGAAAGAACTGAAAGTTAGAAAAGCAATGTGTGTACTTGCTCTGCATAATGTAGCAAAATAGTGAGGGGGGAAAGAAGATATAGCAGACCAATACATATTGGGAAATAAGACATAAGTGAAGACATAAGTGAAAGTGTCTGATGATGAAATGGATTTTTCTTGATTTATGTGTGTGTGTATGTGTGTGTGTTTGTGTGTCTGTCTTTATGTTGTCATTATAGTCCCAGGATTATCATAAAATTTTGAGTGGAATGAAATCATTTCAATTTAAGTTAATCAGTAAAATCGTATGCCCAATTTGTACTTCATATAGGAGAAAGTAGTTTTTAGTATGACATCATATCCACACACCCAAAATAGAAATTGTAATTCTAGATCACTTTTTAAAAAGTACATGAGCTATTTGTATGTTTTGTTTACTTGAAATTGGTCACCGGTTTTATGCTGTGCTCTAAAAGATATTACTACTGTTTCTCAAACTATTTAGACATCTGGATAACAAGCAAGCAAGTTTATTCAATTTTCCAAATGTTTTGGTCTCCTGGAAGCCAAGCACCCAAGCTGTCAATGTTTTTTTTTTTTTTAGTTGGAGTCTCGCTCTGTTGCCCAGGCTGGAGTGCAGTGGCACACTCATGGGCACCCCAGTGTTCACCTCCTGGGCTCCAGTGATTCTTCTGCTTCAGCCTTCAAGTAGCTGGAACTACAGGCATGCGCTACCATGCCCGGTTAATTTTTGATTTATTGTAGAGACAAGGTCTCTCCAAGTTACCCAGGCTGGTCTCGAACTCGTGGACTCAGGTAATCCACTGGCGTTGACCTCCCAAAGTGCTGGGATTACAGGCTGAGCCACCGAGCCCAGCCAAGGTGTCAATTTTTGGGGGGAGCAGAGAAAGTCATATTTTTGTTTTTTCTATTTTCTCATTTATACTTACCTTTTCCAGAAGATTTAGGTACTGTATTGCCTAGCATGTTAAATAAGATTGAATTCAAGTTTGCAGGAGAGTGGAGTTGGGAAGATGAGGTATGCCAATGATTTTATGGGGAATTTTTGTGGTTTTGCCATTTGAAGATAGGATTCTTGAGTTGGAGGAAATGGGCTTGCCGTTTGTCTTGGAATATATTCTGAGAAATAACTGTGCTTTTCTACCTTTGTGTATCAACTTTTGGTGACGAAACCACATATAGACATTTAGATAAAGTGGCCTGGCTGCTATGATTATGTAGCCTCCATTCATTTCAAACTACAGTAATGATTTGTGTTCCTCTTTTTAAAGATAATGGGAAATTCATCTGAGTTCCAGAAAGCAGTTAAGTTAGTGATCAACACAGTTTCATTTGACAGAGATTCTACCGTTCAAGTCTTTGAGGCCACGATAAGGTAAAATAATACATAAAGGGGATTGAAGGCTTCTTTTTGTGTGTATAAGAATAGTTCCCTTGAGGGTCCTCTAGCCCCAAGATCCAGGTAGAGAGTCCCTGCAAGCTTTATGGGTATTGTGCACACTGTTCATGTTTGTTTTATATTTATCAAAACTGGAATAATTGATATTTCCAAGTAATCACATTCTGGACTGAAGGGGAAGATACATTTATGTTTTAATGGGGCTGTAAGATAGGTGTCTGTCTGGTGCAGAATTTAATGTTTTTCCTTATGCCTGATCTCATTTCCTTTTTTCACTGTGTCCTAGGAAAACCCCTACATATTTCTGAGGGAAATGAGAGTTTTCCATCTCACTTACCACCCACAGAAAACCACTTAGTGGCTTAGTGTTTTTCTTCCTACATGTGTCTCTCACTAATCTTTCTTTAATTTACTGGGATCATGCTCTATACCCAGTTTTGTATATTGCTTTCTTTAGTTTGATATATTGTGATTATTTTCCTGCCTAATTTACATTTTTTGAAACTTGCCTTTTGGCTGGGCATGGTGACTCACACCTGTAATCCCAGCACTTTGGGAGGCCAAGGTGAGAGGATTGCTTGAGTTCAGGAGTTTGAGATCAGCCTGGGGAGCGTAGTGAGACCTTGTTTCTACGAAAAATTAAAAAAATTAGCTGTGTGTGGTGGCACCCGCCTGTAGGTGGATCAATCACTTGAACCCAGGAAGTTGAGGCTACAGTGAACTGTGATCATGCCACTGCACTTCAGAGTGAGACCTTGACTCAAAAAAAAAAAAAACACCAAAAAATTGTCTTTTGAATGTTATCATATACTGCTCTAGTTTATAGATGTAATATTTATTTAAAATTATGAAATTCGCCAAGCGTGGTGGTGTGTGCTGTAGACTCAGGAGGCTGAGGTGGAAGGAGTGCCTGAGTCCAACAGGTAGAGGCTGTAGTGACTGTGAGTATGCCACTGCACTCCAGCCTGGGCAACAGAGTGAGACTCCTACTCAAAAAAGAAAAAAAGAAAATGTTTATTTTGAAAAACTTCATAATCTACTTGGGATCATTGGAATGGGACATTCGTGGGTCTGTTGGCACATAGATCTAAGCTAGTAGCCTTCTACCTCTGAGTAGGTTATTTTCTTTTCACTTCCACTCTTCCTCACCTTGCATCTTTACCAGAGGTTGGAGAAGTTCATCAGTTGCTTGGTAGTCAAACTACAAAAGTTACTTGATATTTGTTGTCTGGCCTTTCTCTGTTTTTGTTTGTTTGAGTTGGGGATCTCACTCTGCTGCCCAGTCTGGAGTGTGTGACATGATCACAGCTCCACTGCAGCTTTGACCTCCTGGACTCAGGCAGTTCTGCCTCAACCTTCTGAGTAGTTGGGACTACAGGCATGCACCACCATGCCTGGCTAATTTTTTATTTTCTGTAGAAACAAGATCTTGTTATGTTGCCTAGGCTGGTCTCGAACTCCAGGGCTCAAGCAGTCCTCTCACCTTAGCCTCCCGAAGTGCTGGGATTACAGACGTGAGCTGCCACTCTATTTT